ATTTGGACAATCTGCCTTTTGGAATTTTGTTTAGTCTTGGTGAAATGTATTGCTATTCAAGCAAACATAAATTATTAGACATGGTAATTTGATCAAGAAAAAGTAAGTGGTGGTGTCGAAGTTGTTTTTTGAAAGTAGGGTATTGAGGGTGTTAAGCAAGAATTGATTCAAGTGAGGTTGAACCTTCCTGAATTGTAAAAGGAATAGAAGTATTGGGGTTGGAACTGATTGTCCATTTAATATGTTTAAGAAGCTATATAATTTTAAAATTAGTAGTATTTTTATTAGGTCCTTTAATTATAAGGTTCGAATGAGCAAATATGTTTAATAGAGACCAAAGATTGTTCTGTAGTTGTTGAATACAGATAAGTATAGAAGTACCAAGAAGATGGTTGTTGTTAAGCCATTTGATAAAAGTAGAATATGGTGCTGTAGTTAAATATCTCAAATGTTTTTAATATTGTAGATTTGAGGATACAGAAGAGTGCTAGTGGAAATAGTATGGCTGAGTTTAGCTTTATATTTGACTAGGCCAATATGGCGCGTAAAGATCTTGTTACAGGCTGATTGGCTGAGAACAATATTTTGAAAACAATATTTAATAGTAGGTATGATAACTGTATTAATTATATAGCAGGCTTGAGTATCTGTAATTTTTTTGGGGCTGATTGTATGGATAAGTTGGAAAGATTCAGTTGTAATTTTTTGTATTTGTTTTGATTGTTTATTATCGAGTGTAAACCAACACCCAAGGAATTTGAGTGGCTGGTGTGACAGTTATAATAGAAATAATTAGTTGTTAAAGGTAATTGGGTAATGTAAGTTGGATGTTGAGTTGGTGGTAAAGACTGATTTGTTTGGGTTTACTTGGATGTTGGCTATAGAGTAGAAAGATTCTGCAATTGAAATTATATTGGCCAGTTCCATGTGTAAGGATGCAACCTATAGGGTATCATCCATGTATGCAAGGACTGTGCATTTGGTTTTAAGTTGGTTAGTTGAAAGGTTTTTAAACCAAGAGATTTGCATTTGATATCTAGGTATAGTAGAGTGTATATGAGAAATAAGAGAGTCATAGTAAATATGCCAAAGTAATGGTACAATTGTTTCTCCTTGGTCAATTCCATCTTGCACAAAGTAAGAGGGTGTAAGGCCAAGGTTTGTAATAACATCATTGTGGCAGCTGATAAATAGATTGGAGATTATGTTAATGATTGATACAGGAAGTGCAAGTCTTGAGAGAGCGTATTGTAAAAGAACAGAGTTAACAGAGTCGTAAGCTTTGCTCATATACTGAGACAAAAGCCATATTTCTTTGTGATTGCAGCTTGCATCTTCAATAAGACTATTAAGAATGTATATGGGCATGGAAGTGCTATTGCCAGGAAGAGCAACATAGTTATATGGAGAGAGGATAGGGTGTTGAGAGAAGACATAATTGAGTCTATTAGTAAGAATTTTGGTGTATATTTTTCTGGCATGTTTAATGAGACTGATAGGGTGTGTTAAGTTAAGATCATCATCAAATGTGTTTCTCTTTGGAATAGGGTAAATTCGGCTATGTTTCCATTGTTTAGGAATATAGTTTTCAGAAAGGCAATGGTTGAGGAAGGCAGTAAATGCAGTTATGCAGTGGTGGCTAAGGTGTTTGAACATTTCATAGCTTATACCTATAGGACTACAGGCTTTGTTGTTGGGAAGTTTGGCAATAGTTTGGAGAACTTCATCAATTGTAATAGGTGTAGTGAGAGAATTGTACCAGTCTGGGTTAATGTGAGATAAAGGAGAGTAGTGTTGTTGCTAGGTGTTATTAAAGAGTAGGTGATTGATTAGTTTATGTGTAATCCAGTTATTTAAGTGTTGTTGTATGTGCTGTTTAATTTCTTTAGGGTTTGTAACAAGTTGGTTGGGAAGTTTGATGTTAGAGAAGTAAATAGGAGCTTGATAGCAGTCAAGTATACTATTGATTGCATGAGTGGGTCTAAAAACAAGAGTTTTACATCTTTTCTCAGATGCTTGATTGATTTGTTGCCTAAAGTGAAATGAGCATTCTAAGTGATAGGCATGGTATATCTGTTTCCAAACAGTGTAGGCTTCTTCGAGCCATACTTGTATATAAAAGAGGTTTAGGGTTGAAGATAACTGAAGATCATGCTTTGTATATGAGTTAATTAAAAGAATGTATGAATGGATATGTTGGAAATGCATAACTGACTAGTCAGAGTTTAAGCGAATAACTTTGATAAGATGGCTGAGTTTTTTGAGACCTGTGTAAAGAGCAGTACAGTGTGGATTATATTTGTAGTTATAACTGCGTTTACGTGTTTTTTTATTAGAAACTTTTTGTATTACAGTCTGTATAATACAGTGCTAGATTTTATGCCAGGTGCTGTCAATGCTAATAGTAGAGTTGGTAGAAGTAGAAATGTGATGTTGTTAGAAGAGTTCAGTAGCAAGGTCGGAAAACTCTAGCCAGTGCTTGAAAAATGTTAACTTATAGTTAAAAATACAGCAACAAATATTGGTACGTAGATGAGGTAGTTTGTTATAAGCATTGGGGAAGGTCCAGATAGTAGAAAGTATAAGATAGTTGAAAGTATGCTGGTTTTACTGTTGTCAAGATTGTAGGATAAGAAAAATTAAATATTAAAAGAGTCTGTTCAGATGTAATTAATTCTGCTAGAACTTGTATTATTTGACTATGTGTGAGAGATATTTGAGGTTTGTGCCTCAATAGCAAACATGTTTAACCGATGTAGAAAGTTAATAAGCTTGTAATGAGCTGAAGAGCTAAAAGTATTATCGTTAGTGTTGAAGTTGCTGAGGATTATGGGATAGAGGTTAAGTTGTTGTGCTTGAAAAGTCTAGTTACTGACAGTATTTTGAGTATTGTTTCTTTTAAGTGGGTCAGTTGAGGACAGATATACTGAAATGATATGAAACTTTATTGGGTTTTTAAAAAATAGATCAAGTGCAATAGCGCCTCCTGGGTGGATATGACAGCTATGTATATGTGGTTTAAGGTAGTTACGTATCATGATAGCAGATTCTTTTGCAGAGCAGTCAGAATTTGACCAGTAGTAGGTGAAAAGGTTGTTGTTACAGAAGGAAAGCTTTGTTTTGTTTAAAATTTTTGTTTCAGTAATGCTGGCGATTGAGATGTTATGGTTAATGTAATAGTCTTGTCAGATTTGTCTTTTGGAAGCTATATTAAACCCTCTAATATTGTGGGTAGCAATAGTAAGATGTAGATCACGATAGTTGGGTTGTTCAGATTGTGTAGAGAGGTTATGAGCATATGATTTGAGAGGAATAAAGGGTCTGAGGTAGATAATATCCAGATAAGAAATAATAATATAGTCAGGTAGAGAGCAAGACTCTTCTGGTAGATAGATGTGAGCTTCGCTATAGTCTGTTTTGCAGATATAACAATTTTTCTATAAAGTTTGTCTCACAAACCAATTTTGAGTAAATGTAAAAAGAAGGAGTTGAGTGTTTGAGGAGCTTGAATTGGAGGAGAGTTTATAGATAGGAGAAATCAGTTGAAGCAGTTGAATAGATTATAAAATGTAGGAGCATAGTAATATGAATCTTATGAATATCTTCTACAGTATTGCTCACCATATACCCAGCTCTCACGGTTCTGCAAGAATTAGAAGTACTCTGGTTAGGCATTAGAGTACTGTCATTATCAAATTCTTCCAGGTATCAATCTTAATTGATAAAAATTAGTTTAACGGTAAGTAGATTCATTATTGTGATGAAAAAAATATTGAGAGCATTCTTAGTCTCTAAGTTTAGCGATTATTTATATGTCTAAGTATTTAATATAAGCTGTTCACTTCTTGTTTTCTTATCCATATTAGTCTGTATAATTATCATCTGTAAAGAACATTTTAAATTATATAGATTAGTATGACCAAATGTACAGTATAGAGCTGTTAATCAGTCTGTCCAGTTCGTCTTGGTCCAAAGACCGGCGGTCTTTTAAAATGTTGAACCAGACTGCGGTCTAGAACTTATTAAGGACCGATCAGTATAAGACTAGATGAACTGATTATTCAACTAATTAAATGCTACATAAATTGCATCAACACATTGTATTACTACCTGTTATTATTATAAACTTCATTCAAATTATTAATTAAATGCTATCTCTAAACAAATATTTATTATTATTTATGATGAAATGCACATAAATTTTTAGAATTATGTACACAATATTTGTAGGTGTATCTTTGAACTAGTTAATAGTCTTAATACTATATTAGCATTTCTATATATATATGAAGAACTCTTCTCAGATTAACTCATTGCTGCAAGTTTTTTTTAAAAAATAAAATTATTTGTTTGTTTAATTTATTCAAGCTATTCAGACTGTTTAAGTCATTTAAAATATATGAATAGCTGATTATTTGTACAAACTTTTATATAATTTTTCAAATTCATACAAATAAGAATTCAATATATAACTGTATTGTTTGGAGTTGAATAGATTATGCTATTAGAATTAAATTTGTGCTTTGTTGTATCATATAATAGTGCATTAGAAAACTCAAAATCCAGAATTAATAATATGATAAATTTATACTTAAAAATTGTTATGTTTATTTATTATAACCTATTTATACCCAACTTAATATATAATATATTTTAAAGTGACAATACAAAATATATAAAAATAAAAGCTCTTTAATAAATAATAAATTTAATTTTGAGACTATAAATGATTTCAATATCAATATAAATGTTTTGTTAATATATGTAATAAAATTATATATGCGATAAGATCTTATGCATAAAAAAAACCTGCTAACAGGAAAAAAAATTTGTAAGTTAAAATTTATATTTATAAGTTTTTAGTAAACCAAGATTTTAAATATAAAATAGCCTAAACTGTTTCATTATTAAGAGAATTTCATGTTTTAGTTAATTGTTAATCTAGCTAAACTAAATATTTGTCTGCAAGAAACACTAGTAGGCATAATAGCTAGATAATTTTAAGCCATATTTACTAAATTTGGATATGCAGTTTGATTGGCTTTCCACCAATTACAAGTTGAAACTTCTTCGGGTGGAGCAATTGTTTTCCAATATTGAGTAGGCTCATTAGAAGTTGAGTTTGCTATTAACATATATATTCCAGCATATTTATAAATAAATTGAAGTTATTTTGATGAAGGTAAAGGTTGAGTAATATTATTAGAATTTGCTGAAAGAATAGAACGAATTGGTGCTAAAATTTCTTCTACTAATTGTTCAAAATAAACTATTTTTTAAAATACAGATCAAAAAAAGTGGCAATTTTGCTTGCTTCTTGCATTAGTGGCCAATACTCATCTAATTTTTCTTTAATACCAAATGCTACTGAATTTATATCCAAATAAGAACTATTAAACATATCAAGGTGATTGCTTGGATAATTAGATTTTGAAAGTATTTTAGTTGCTGTATTAAATGGCTTTAAACAATTATGATGCTCCTTTAAATTAAAATTAAAAAGTAAGTATAAGTATTAAAATTAAAATTTAAAATTAAGTTAATATTATATTACGGAAATTATAGACCATTCATTATTAAAAGTTACAAATTATACAATGTTGAATGATGTATAATAAGAATATCTAAATCAATATGTAAAACTAATATACAATCAACCATTGTAAAGATAGAGTTCTATCTAGTTTTATAGTCAATAATTGGATACAAAAATGAATGATCAAATGAAGTTGCAATATGCTTTAGATTTTTAATTAAAAGTACTAACTTGCGAATTTTTTTAATAAAACATCGAAGTTTTTTAACTAAATGATTATTAACTAATTTTAAACCTTTTTTAATAGCAAGATTTATTATATATGCTATACAATGAACAAGTTAAAATAAGGTACAGTAAAACCTCTATAAGTGTACACTCTCTCTACATGCACACCATAGCCTGGTTCCAAGCTCGGGACTTAGACACTCTCTATGTTCTGCACGTGCAATGATTTTGGATTCCACACATATTAAAAATTTCTTTATAAATGCACTTACATGATACAGTCAGACCTCTCTAAGTGCATCCTCTATAAGTGCACACCCTCTCTAAATGCACCGGCCCAAATATATACTTGATCTCCATAAATGCACTTTTTCTTATTATTCTCTATATGCACGTTATAAAAATGTGGTCCCAAGAGCGTGCACTTAGCACAGGTTAAAATCAAAAATATCTTCCCTGTATCTTCAAATAATCGGCCTAGATAATAGCAGGACAATATAGTGATGGCTATGAACCGATATGATAGTGTATAAAAAAAGCCAATATGTGGAAGATTAGAGTAAATTATAATGCATATACAGAAATTAACATTCGCATATCATTAAGATGATTTGTTTATCATATAAAAGATATAAGGCCGATATAAACAAGTTTTTTTAATGATAATTTGATAATTAGATAAATCATTAGCCGATATAGTGAAGGCTAATTTGTGAAAAAATTTTATTCATTTTATACCGATATAAAGGATAAATATTCATGAATTTGGAATATTATTAACAAATTATAATATTAGTTTAAACGATATAATAATGTTGCTCGATGATTAATAAGCCGATATGATAATGTTATTTAGCGATTATATTAATCAT